AAGGAAACATCAAAACAAATAAAAGTTTATTGATATCTGCCTTTTTATATTTACCGTTGTCATGTAAAAGTTAAAATGTTCTGCACGTAATCAAAAATAGTTACGGTAAATAGTAGTATTGTGTACACTGTAATCTTACCACAGGGTATCCATTTACTCCATTCTCCCCAGTGTGTATTCATGCCACATTTCATTATTCCTTTGGCTCTCATTCTGACTGAGCATTCCTTTTCTATATTTGAAATTGTAAATGGATTGCTTGTAGGATTATATGAATTCTGAAAAGCATACAAGAAATATATTATTATATTCTACTCAGAATGATTCCCATACAAGGATGAAGATACCCAGAGACCAGAAATAATATGTCACTTGATCCAGCCAAGAACCAAACCTATAAAGGCATCACTGGCTTAACTTGTGGGGGATTGCTTGTGCAGAATAGATCTTCCTGAAGGAATGCTATTGTCTCTAACTTCTGAGGGATCGATCAGTTGGAATGGATCTTCAAAAAGGATTGCTATAGTCTCTATATAATAAGGCCAAGAGCAGCAGAATGGTGAATTAATATGCATGCTTAAACAAAAAATAAATAATTTTCAAAAAGATCCTTCAGCAGTTGGCTCTTCCACAGGGTAAAGCTGGGCCCCACCCAGCCTGTTATTCACATGTGGTGGGCCCACAGGACTTCCAATGTGTCCACCGATCTTCTTTTGTCCTTGTGTTTCAGATATCTCAGTGTCTGCAGAATTGATTTTATATGCTCCCTAGACAGTGGGCCAGAAGTGTTTCTGTTGAGTAAGGACTGATGTCATCTACAAGCAGTTGCTAGGGCATTTTTATTTTCTAGCTGCTGTAATGCTGATCAGCATCTAAAGGTTTGTGTGTGAGGAGCATAGTCTGCAATTTCTGCAACCTCTGCCATTAATGTAATAAAGTAGTGGACATATTTACCAGACTGTGACCAATACATAACATGAACAGAGGTAACCACTGTATGCCCTCGCCATGCCTAGGCTGTACTCGGGCGGACTGATCCATTCAGGCAGTCGGGCATAGCCCGAGTGCCCTCGGCCGTTCCCCCACTAAATGAAGGTCCCAGCCGCAGGTGCAATGGCTCCCTCCCTCCACTGCCTCTCTGCCACCTGCACCACTGATCCCTGCCAGTCCACCTGCAGCAGATGCGGCTCTCTAATCGAGAGGCCCCACCGGGCGGCCCTCTAACATGCCTGATTAGAGGGCCGCGTCTGCCTCATCTAGCCAGCCCTGATGTCTGAAACATTATGATGCTGATCTGAAACATTAAAGTGTGACAAACATGCAAAACAATGAAAAATCAGGAAGGGGGCCAACACTTTTTAACACAACTGTATATATATTTTTTTATAATACTCACCTGATCCCTGGATCCACCGACAAGCGCAGCCTCCCATCTCCCACGCTGTCAGAAGCTGCATACAGAGCGTGATGGTTATTACTTAAACCGGCGCACTGTATGCAGCTTCTGACAGCGTGGGAGACAGGAGGCTGAGCTCGTCTGTGTATCTAGAGATCAGGTGAGTATTTAAAAAAAGTTTTATTTTATGTTCCCGGGGACGGTCTCCTCAATCTGGGGACTGTCCCCGGAAATCGGGGACGAATGGTCACCCTACACCAGGGAGCCCTCACTGTCTACCAGGGAGCCGCCACAGAGCCCCCCTGGCCACCAAGGAGTTCCCACTAACCACCAGGGAGCCCCCACTGGCCACAGTGGAGCCCCCACTACCCACCTGGGAGCTACCACAGAGCCCCCACTGGCCACCACAGATCCTGCACTGACCAGCAGAGAGCCCGCACTGACCACCTGACAGTCCGCATTGGCCACCTGAGAGCCTAATTAGGGAGCCGGCTCTGTTGAACCCACATGCACCCGTGAAACTCTCTAGATCCCTGATGAGAGCCCACACAGCCCACCTGAGAGCTCACACTGGCCACCTGAGAGCCCGCACAACCTCCTGAGAGCCTGCACAACCCTCCTGAGACCCTGGAGACATGAGGCGGTGGGTTCACCCCTGGAGGCGGTGAACCCAGAGCAACATAGAGTATGTAGCTTCATATTATCCTGCATTGCTGTAATATGTATTCCTGGGAGTTATAGTCCTCTATAGCTGATGCCATAATGGTATTGCTGGGAATTGTAGTTCTCTATAGCTGCTGGTATTGTTCATTGCTGTATAATGTATTGTTGGGATTTATAATCCTCTACAGCTGATGGTATTCTGCATTGTTGTGTAATGTATTGCTTGGAATTGTAGTTCTCTATAGCTGCTGGTATTCTTCATTGCTGTATAATGTATTGTTGGGATGTATAATCGTCTACAGCTTATGGTATTCTGCATTGTTGTGTAATGTATTGCTTGGAATTGTAGTTCTCTATAGCCAATGCCATTTTGCATTGCTGTACAATATATTTCTGATAATCCTCTATAGCTGGTGGTATTATTCTGCATTGCTGTATTATGTGTGCTGGGATTTGTAGTCCCTCTACACCTGCTGCCCATTAATGTTTGTGTGCGGGTGACATCACATGGGGATCAGACTGTGTGATGTCGCTGTGTATGTGTCGTTCTAACTGCCCAATCTGCCGTACATTGGATCTGGTCTGAGGTCTGCAGTGTATTGGTTCTAATCTGAGGTCTGCCGTGTATTGGATCTGGTCTGAAGTCTGCCTTCTATTGGTTCTGACCTTAGTTCTACTTGTATTGGTTCTGGTCTGAAGTTTGCCGTGTATTGGTTCTGGTCTGAAGTGTGCCGTGTATTGGTTCTGGTCTGAAGTGTGCCGTGTATTGGTTCTGGTCTGAAGTGTGCTGTGTTTTGGTTCTGGTCTGAAGTGTGCCGTGTATTGGTTCTGGTCTGAAGTGTGCCGTGTATTGGTTCTGGTCTGAAGTGTGCCGTGTATTGGTTCTGGTCTGAAGTGTGCCGTGTATTGGTTCTGGTCTGAAGTGTGCCGTGTATTGGTTCTGGTCTGAAGTGTGCCGTGTATTGGTTCTGGTCTGAAGTGTGCCGTGTATTGGTTCTGGCCTGAGGTGTGCCGTGTATTGGTTCTGGCCTGAAGTGTGCCGTGTATTGGTTCTGGTCTGAAGTGTGCCGTGTATTGGTTCTGGTCTGAAGTGTGCCGTGTATTGGTTCTGGTCTGAAGTGTGCCGTGTATTGGTTCTGGTCTGAGGTCTGCCGTGTATTGGTTCTGGCCTGAGGTCTGCCGTGTATTGGTTCTGGCCTGAGGTCTGCCGTGTATTGGTTCTGGCCTGAGGTCTGCAGTGTCTTGGTTCTGGTCTGAGGTTTGCTATGCATTCGGCCCTTTAGCTCACTTTCCAAATTGTCTATATTGGTCTAGATCAGGGGTAGCCAAACTCCGGCCCTACAGCTGTGGTGAAACTACAAATCCCATGATGCATCTCTCTCCGGGAGTCATGTCTGTGGCTGTGAGAATCTTGCAATGCCTCATTGGATTTGTAGTTCCACCACAGCTGGAGGGCTGGAGTTTGGCTACCAATGGTCTAGATTTTGAAATTCTCCTACCAATTCCCTGGCAAATCATCTTTTAGTGAATTGGCCCACTATTTGAAAAATAATGTAGAGAAAAAATTTCTGTGGCACAAGAATGTCTATGCAGGTGGGGCTTGTATATGGGTGGAGCACAAGGGGGCCCCATAATCTTGTATTGCCCGGGGGCCCCATGTGTTGTCAGTCCGCCCCTGGCTGTAGTTAATTATATTTTTGCAGGATGTATACAGAGAGTATGTGGCACACCAAATATAGGCCAGTACGACTTCTTTTGCGAGCCAATGTACACATGATTAAAAAGGTATAAGCGGCCTTTGTGAATCTGCAGACAGAAGAAAACGCTCATACCATCACTTACGATAGGTCACACTGTGGGGCAAATTGTGGAACTTTTCTTTCTGAGCATAATCCTCTCATGTACTGTATATAATAGGCCTAATATATTATGTGGAGCAGATGTGGGTTATCTGGCAACACGAATCAATTAGGGGCACTGTTAGCCTGTGGATCATGTGACACAATCACACAACAAGACCAATGGGTATCCCTTGTGTGTTGATGTGACCACCAAATCCAAAATGTTTGCCTCACTCCAGCCTACTGTGCTTAGATAATAGCACAGAACCTACAGGGGAGAGCTAAATACTGGTATGGTGGTGGGGTAAGCTTGAATGTCCCAGAAATGCCCTTTTGCCACCTGAGACACCTCACTGTCAGTTGTGGCAGTAGGCTGTTGCCAGCGTGCAACAGGTGACTGTGGTCTATTGTGAGGCAGTCCATTGTTTATGTTCACCACTCAGGCCAAAACTTTCAAAAAGCTTTTCCTATTTATAGTTGGCCTTGTAGAGAGAATAAACATAAAACTAATTTTCTAACTAAACCTAATTAATTCACATGTATGTGTAATAGTTCTATCATAAACTATGTCAGATTTTGGGTTGCAATTATATACTAAAGTGAATAAAGATTTTGAAATGTGTTGAATTCAACATTTGTGAATCTATCTAGAGTTTCAAGTTCATAGATGAAAAACTGAGAAACATTTTAGGTATTCTGTGTGTGTTGTACCTGGTTCTTTTCAATGATGTACTCGAAACATTCATCACTAGCATCATATTGTTTTTGTGGACTTTGCCAATATACTGTAATGCTGTCTGTAAATGATGTCACTGAAATATCTCTTGGCGGATTGAAAATTTCTGTAACATAAAACATGAAATCTATGTTTTACTTCAAATAATTCAGATTTTATAATTCTGCAACATTATGTCATCATTAGATATGACTATTTAATGTCCTACTTCTTCTAGTGGAATCTCAGAGAAAGCAGATTCAAAAGGCAAAAGGTTAGCTTTGACCTCCTAATTTGTGACCTCGGAAATAACCCCCCCAAAAGCCATTCTTCGGCCATTCCAAATTGTGTACTTTACCTATGTGTGCAAGCTGAATGCGTTCTCCAAACACCTCCATCCCAGGATCTGAGCCCTGTACAAAGATAGTGGCGTCCTCGAAAAAGTGTACTCTCAAATCATGAAATGTGCAAGAACCAGTCCTTGCATGGAAATTTGTTTCATATTCTTGACACTGTATGCTTGTAGTTCCTTGTCTAAGGAAATGTAAAAGTCTTAATATTAATACAAAACATGTTAAAATACAAAAACAAACATGTTAATATAACTCTTCTGTGCCCTGATGTCAAGCTCCCAATGTTCCTTAAAATATCATATTCTACAGCGTGGGCTCCTCTACCCTTCATCAGCTGACCTACAATTACAATCCCAGTTTTTGCTAGTTACAGAGCATGCAGAGGATTGTGGAGATTCTCCATCACTTGTGATGGGAAGTGTGAATGTAATGACTTACAAGGTTATTCACAAAAGAGTGAAGAGTTTGGAGAAGGCAGGAGAATTGAACAATCTGGGCCAAAATAGCTGATTTGGAAAAATTATCATATTCAGCTCCATTTCCAGTTCAGCTATGTTGTCCTAGATTGTTCGCTTATCCTGCCTTCTCCAAACTCTTTACGCTTTTGTGAATAACTATGTTAGTACTCTAGTTCCCACTAAATAGTGCTTAGACATAACTAGTAAGATGTCCTTTAACAGTTCATAAAATAGTAGGTGGTCATTTAGGGATATAAGGTGACCATCTGCTTGCTACAGATAGGCTATTATAGCTGCAGATCCAGGTCCTGAAAATCAACCCACTCAAGACCATGTTCAACCCAATAGTATTGTATAACATAGTACCACATAATATACTTACTTGAGAGAAAGTATGTACGAAGTGCTATGGGAAACATTTTTGCCAAGCATCCATGTACATTTCATTGAAGATATGTTATAAACTCTGCAAGATACATTTTCTGCTGAGGTCCCATTTCTTTCTGATGGTGTTAACACATAGTATATGTCATGCCAGAACACAGATACTAAACATTAAAAAGCATCAGCATACAAAAACTGCTCAAAGAAGGTAATCATTAGGTATAAATGATTTTTTTTATTTCCAGATGAGAACATTCTGTGGCTTTATTTTGGGGTAAAACTAATTTCCTCATTTATTGATGCTAAACCATTTCATTTGTATTTCAATCATAGAATTGCTCAACATTGCTAAAATAATGGTTAAGTTGCATCTAAAATGGAAACATATATTTATTAATTTTTTTTTAGATGCAAAGCAGGCTTTAAAAAAAAGCTGAGATTTTAGTCACTCTGTTTTAAACTTTTATAATAAAAGGGTTTGTTTTAACTCTTTTGCCGACACTGGCATAAGGGTTACATTGGTGGCAGCTATGGCATCTAAACTCCGCTATAGCAGCCAGGAGTTTGTTTACCTTCATAGTCCCGTCGGCTGGCCTTCTCGAAGAAGTGATCTGAGCAGCTGTAAAGCTGCATGATCATTTCTACACTGTAGGGAAGAAGTGGCAACAATTGTTGCTGCAACCTGGTATTCCATAGGAGGACATTTGTTCTGGTTTTATGCCCTGATGAAAGTCATCATTTGTAAGTACAATGTTTATCACTTTATTTATTAAAAGGAATGTTACCTGCACTATCCAATGCCATCTGTTTTTCTTTTATAACAATGTGTAAATAGTTTAATATACATAGTCTGGGCATAGGCTCACTTTAAGACCAGAAATATTTATTATTATTATTATTATTATTATACAGGATTCATATAGCGCAAAGAGTTTACACAGCGCTTTACAATATAGGGAAGACATAATTACAATACAATTCTAGACAAGATGGTAGGGAGGGCCCTGCCCATGAGGGCTTACAATCTAAGATGGAGGGGCAAGTGATACATGAGGTGGTAGCTGTGTAAGGGATGAATTGTTTGAGAAAGAGTTCAGAGATTAGTTTGAAGTGTGATAGGCTTCCCTAAAGAGATGAGTATTTAGTGATTGCCTAAAGGCAGTCAGAGTGGGAGATAGACGGACAGGTTGGGGTAAGGAGTTCCAAAGAATGGGAGAGACTCTAGAGAAGTCCTGGAGGCGAGCATGGGAGGTGTTGATGATGGAGCTGGAAAGCAGGAGGTCTTGGGAGCAGCGGAGGGGACAGTTAGGGCGATACTTTGAGACAAGGTTGGAGATGTAACTTGGGGCAGAGTTGTAGATGGCTTTGTAAGTGGTTGTTAATATTTTGAATTGTATCCTTTGAGCAATTGGAAGCCAGTGGAGGGATTGGCAGAGGGGGTTGCAGATACTGAGCGTTTGGTTAGGTGGATAAGTCTAGCAGCTGCATTCATGATAGACTGAAGGGGGGATAGCCTGTGTAGAGGTAGGCCAACGAGGAGGGAGTTACAATAGTCAAGACGAGAGACAACAAGTGAGCAGCTTTGTGGCTTCATTGGTGAGGAAGGGGCTTATTTTGGAGATGTTACGAAGGTGAAGGCGGCAGGATTTGGATAGTGAGTGGATGGGGGGCAGAAAGGTTAGGTCCGAGTCAAGGATGACACCTAGCACCTTCGAATGGGGGGAGGGTTGGATAGTTGTGCTATCAATCATGATCGAAAAGTTGGGGGAGGGTGTTGAATACCATGAGCTCAGTTTTTGAAAGTGTCGTGACATCCAGACTGATATATCAGTTAGTAAATTAGTGATACGCAAGGAGACTGAGGGGTTGAATTGTGGAGTGAAGAGACATATTTGAGTGTCATCAGCATTGAGATGGTATTGGAAGCCATGTGAGGTGATCAACTGACCAAGAGGGGAGGTGTAGATAGAGAAGAGAAGGGATCCAAGGACAGAGCCTTGAGGGACCCCAACAGAAAGTTGAAGAGGAGAGGAAGATATAGATTTGTAGGTTACACTAAAGGAGTGCTTAGATAGGTAGGAGGAGAACCATGAGAGAGCAGAGTATTGTAGGCCAAGCGTTTGGAGTTTTTTAGAGAGCAGTGGGTGGTCAACAGTGTCAAAAGCACCAGAAAGCTCTAATAGCAAGAGTAAGGAGTAGTGGCCATTGTTTTTAGCTGTTATTAAGTCATTAGTGAGTTTTAGGAGGGCGGTATCGGTGGAGTGTTGGGGGGCGAAAGCCGCACTGTAAGGGATCAATGAGATTGTTATCAGTGAGGTGGAAGCTCAAGTGGTTGTAGATAAGGCGTTCAAGGAGTTTGGAGGTGAAGGGGAGTAAGGAGATAGGTCTAAGATTGTTGATGTTAGTAGGGTCCAGTGAAGGTTTTTTGGGTATTGGGGTGACCAGTGCATATTTTAGAGGGTAAGGAAAGATGCGAGTAGAGAGGGAGAGATTGAAAATGTGAGTGAGAGAGTGTAGGATAGAGCAAGAGGGTGACCGGAGTAGTAGTGAGGGAACAGGGTCCAGGGGGCAAGTGGTGAGGTGGGTGTCAGAGAAAAGCTTTGTAACCTTCTCTGTGGTGACAGGGTCAAAAGAGGAAAGTAATAAGTGTGATGGTGGGTCTGATACATGAATAGGGGGAAGGTGACTGGGCTGTAGGAATTTCATCCCGGATTGCATCTATTTTGTTTTTGAAATGAATGGCAATGTCCTGGGCGGTGCATGAATTAGTGGGTGGTGGTGGCGATGGGGGACATATTAGAGAGTTAAAAGTAAAAAAGAGCTGATGGTCTGGATGAGAGTGTGTAATTGAGAGTGACCAAATAAGTGTGTTTGGAAGCACGGAGGGAGGAATTACATTTTAAGAGGGCAGCTTTATACAGGGCGAAGTCTTGCAGAAACAAGACAAGAAGTAGGCTGAGCGCACTACTGGTGTTGGAGAACACACACACACACACATTATATATATATAAAAATACACATACATACAAATGTGTTATTCGTAGGTGTGCTATCTCCTTACACAGGATGAGGAGTCCTGTATGGAAAACAACTAAAAACAAAAAATAAGGAGCACTACAACCTGGACGAAAGTCCTTGGTTAGGGCTGTTTGGCGGTGGGTCCCTATATGAGAGAAGTTTAGTGTGATTAACAATTGGTTGAAAGAAACATTAATTGGAAGGAAAATTACTCACTTTGGAGGAGTAGATGGTCGTTCCATGGGAGAGGTGGTATAATGTCCTGTATAATGATATTGTTGTAAACGTCTTAGCTGGATGGTGCAGATGGTGTGGAGACTGCATCTACAGGTGGGACTAGGGACATTGATCTATTCTTCATCCTTCCTCCTACAAACACCTGGAACAAAACGATAGACTGCTCCTGACAACCGACGCACAACTTCTCTGAATGTCCGGCGGCTTCCTTCCTTATACAAACAACCGTTGCGGCTCACCTGGCCAGCTGAGCCCATCGTTACCATCTCCACAACAAGCTTTTTCGGAAAGAGCTACAGCTTGGTCCAGGAACATCGACCAGCTTCTTCAGGACTCAGAATTTATGATTCCATCAGAGTATTAGACTCCCCTGTAGATGCAGTCTCCACACCAATGAAATGACCATCTCCTCCTCCAAAGTGAGTAATTTTCCTTCCAATTAATGTTTCTTTCAACCATTTGTTCATCACACTAAACGTCTCTCATATAGGCACCCATCGCCAAACAGTCCTAACCAAGGACTTTCGTGCAGGTTGTAGCGCTCCTTATTTTTCATTTGTAGTTGGTCTTGCAGAAGCCTAGTGCCAGAGTGCGGCTATGTCTTTTAAGATTTCTTGTTTCTTCTGTTTGCCATGGTGGTAGTGGACGTGGCCTAAGTCTGCGTGTAGTGAGGGGAGCGATGGTGTCTACGGAGGATGAGAGTGAGCTGTTGAAGACAAAAGTAGCCAGGTCAGGGCAGGACAGGGTTGAGATTTTGTCATCGTAGTCAGTAGCAGAAAAGAGAAGGGTCGAGGTGGCGAAGGTTTCTCTGGGTGCAAGTGTGCCATGTCGGGGAATCAGGGTTGGGGACAGGGTGAGTGTGAAACTGATAAGGTTGTGGTCTGAGAGGGGAAAAGGGGTTTTGGAGAGGTTGCATGGAGTGCATAGGCGAGTGAACACAAGATCACGTGTCCATTGTTAGGTCAAAAGAAGAGGTTAGGTTAAGAAATTGAGCGGTACCTGAGGTGCTAATGTTATTAACAATGCTAAAATCACCAAGAATGGTAGTGGGTATCTCTGAGGAGAGAAAGTAGGGCTGCCAGACAGAGAAGTCATCAAGAAAGTGAGATACTGGTCTAGGTGGCCAGTATATAACAGCAATTCTCAGAGAAACTGGAGAAAATTGGCGACTACAGTGAGCTTCAAAAGAGGAGAGGGATAGAGAGGGAGGTGAAGGCAGAGTTTGAAAAGCACATTGTGGGTATAGGATTCCCACCCCACCTCCTTTCTGTCCACTAGGTCTGAGTGAGTGCGTCCAGTGGAGGCCACCATGGGAGAGAGCAGCAGAGGAGGCAGAGTCGCATTCCTGAAGCCAGGTTTCAGTGACAGCAATGATGTTAAAAGAATTGAAGATGAGAAGATCATGCACAGCAGTGAGTTTTTTCACAGACAGAGTGGGCATTCCAGAGGGTACATGAGAAGGAAGGACTGGTTGTAGGAAGCAGGGGAATATTTAGCACTAGGCTACAAAAAAGTTTACTTTTGGGTTTGTTCACCAGCCAAATAAACCAAATGAAATCCTGCCTCTAATATTTTAACCCCTTCGTGACGGGAGATGTACAGTGTACGTCTTGTCACTTTGTGCCTATATGACTGGCCACGTACACTGTACGTGACGAGTTACATAGTTACATAGTATTTGAGGTTGAATAAAGACATTAGTCCATCAAGTCCAACCTATTAGGATCTCATTCTAGGAGTACCCGTACCCCTGTATATTACGGTCCCTTAAGAAATCTCAGGCTAACAAGGTGCCTGTGTACAGGGTGGTCTACAGTTTGATCTATGGCAACACCCACACTGAAGTAGATATAACAATAAGGAACCTGGGAACAAACTGAGCTTAGACATTGATGTCATCTTTCCGTAGAGGACAACTGCACTTTTGCTTTAAGGCCTCATTCGCACGGATCTGCACATCTGTACAGGCAGAAGTGTTTATGCACTGAGGCAGGTATAGATGTTCTGTTGCATCCACCTCTTAATGTCATGGTCTAGGGACCAGGGCACTAGGGTACGTGAGCTCCGGGGTTTGCGTAGTGGGTAGGAGTCACAGACCGGAGGGATATCTGGGATGTTGGTCACAGGGAGAGAGGAATTAATGGTCTGTGCATTCTCAGGACGCACTAGAGGCGCAGAATCTAAGAAGGGCCAGGTATTCGACAGTGCCTCTAATGGTGAGGATGATTGGCTGCTGGACACCTTCCAGGTTGCGGCCCTCTAGCACACCCACACAGACACAAAAGTACTGGTTGAAGCACCGGGGAACTGGATACAAACAACAGGAAGGGAAGAAACTTGTAACCAAGAGGAGGAAGATAGGAACAGTGGCACACAAAGAGAGAGAGAGAAAGTCCCAGCAAAGGTGCACAATGCACAGCAGAACAGCAGAGCATACTGAATAGGGTAGCTAAGCAAGGACACCCAGGAAGGGTAAGTAGCTTAGAGGCACACCTAGGAGCAGGAAAGTGTAACGTACAAAAGTAAGAAAGAGATGTGCGTTGCACATGCATACTAAGAAGCAGGATAACAGAGGGAAAAGTACAACTGCAGCAGGCACTATTTTACCTGCTCTGGATCTGCTCTGGATCTGCAAATGCATAAAAAACGCATGAAAATGCCTGGAACACACTGAAAGCCCATGTTAAACTAACCAAAAACGCATCTAAAAGACTAGCGTGCGTGTGCAGAAACCTGATCGGATCTGCTCTGCATTTGGTGTGAACAAGGCCTTAAGGGACCAAAAGTAATTAGACAATTGACCCAAAAACTGTTTCATGGACAGGTATGGGCTATTCCTTCATTATTTTATCATCAATATGCAGGTAAAAGGTCTGGAGTTGATTCCAGGTGTGGCATTCGCATTTGGAAGCTGTTTCTGTGAACCCACAAAATGCGTTCAGAGGAGCTCTCAATGTAAGTGAAACTGGCCACCCTTAGGCTCCAAAAAAAAGGAAATCCATCAGAAATATAGCAGGAACTTTAGGAGTAACCAAATCGAGAAGTTGGTACATTGTTCTTTCACTGAGAAACAAAGAATGCACTGATGAGCTCTGCAACACAAAAAGGCCTGGACGTCCACAGAAAACAGTGGTGGATGATCATAGGATCCTTTCCATGGTAAAAAAAAAAACCCTTCACAACATCCAGCCAAGTGAAGAACACTCTCCAGGAGGTAGGCATATCATTATCCAAGTCTACCATAAAGAGAAGACTTAACAAGAGCAAATACAGAGAGTTCACCACAAGGTGCAAACCATTCATAAGCCTAAGACTAGAAAGGCTAGATTAGACTTTGCCCAAAAATCTGTAAACAAAAGCCAGCCCAGTTCTGGAACAGCATCAGCATTCTTTAGACAGGTGAAACTAAGATCTAGCTGTATCAGATTGATGGGAAGAAAAAAGAATAAAGAAGGCTTGGAATGGCCCATGAACTGAAGCATACCACACCATCTGTAAAACACAATGGAGGCAGTGTGATGGCATGGGCATGCATGGCTTCCAACGCCAGTAGTGTTTATTGATGATGTGACAGAAGACAGAAGCAGTCTGATAATTTTTTAAGTGTTTAGGAATATATTGTCTGCTCATATTTAGCCACATTCAGTGAAGTTGATTGGACAGCACTTCAATTTACATATGGACAATGTCCCAAAACATAGCGTGAAAGCAACCCAGGAGTTTTTTTAAGACAAACAAGTGGAATATTCTGCAATTGCTGAGTCAATCACCTGATCTCAACCCGACCGATCATGCATTTAATTTGCTGAAGACAAAATGTAAGGCAGGAGGACCCCTGAACAAACAACAACTGAAGACAGCTGCAGAAAAGGCCTGGAAAGCGTCACAAAAGAGGAAATCCAGCGTTTGGGGATGTCCATGCATTCCAGACTTCAAGCAGTCATTGCCTGCAAAGGTTTCTTGACAAAGTATTCAAAATTAACATTTTATTTATGATTGTGTTAATTTGTCCAATTACATTTGAGCCCCCGACATAAGGGGACTGTGTATGAAAATGGTCGCCATTCCTATACGTTTCAATTGATATTTTTGTTCAACCCCTTGAATTAAAGACGAAAGGCTGCACTTCAATTGCATCTTGGTTGTTTCATTTCAAATCTGTTGTGGTGGTGTACAGAGGCAAAACGTGACATTTCTGTCAGTGTCCAATTATTTCAAGCCCTAACTGTGTGTGTGTTCATATATGTGTATAATATATGTGTGTGTGTGTGTGTGTGCCTGTGTATATATATATATATATATTTACACTGAATGGCCAGATTATTATGACCACCTGACGTTTGTAGGCAAATTAGCTATAATTAGCTATAATTTTGTGCTGAAGTTGCTAGAGGGCCTAAAACATCAAAACTTACATTGTAAGTTAAACTACTGTCCTCCATTGTAATAAAAAAAATGATTCTTCTCTTATTGCTACTATAGGCTCCCCCTCTCTGTCCCGTCTAGATGGCAGGATAAACCAAATGTTTGATATATGAACCCTGCCCCTGACAAACGAGCACTTGATTACGAGAACTGGACTTGCCTAACTACACTTGCACAGTCCGCTCCCTCTCTTGCAGCAACTGAACTGAGCGTTCTGAGTGAGAGAGAAAGCAAATTGCACATACGTAAATTTAAACAAATTTGGAATTAAAGGCGAACTAGCCCTTTAATACTACTGTGTGCCTTTCCCATATATTTCACAATGTATGCAATTGCTTTTATTGGAATATATAGAAACCTGTTTTAATTGAGTATCTTTCATCAGTTAACAGGTGTAATTGGGTACATTAGTATTTGTCATATGAAGATAAAGAAACTGTTTTGTTTGTATTTTCTAATCACTATGAGGATACAATTATATGCATATATGCCATTTTAAGGAAATTGAGACGACATATTTTCTTTTTCTATATTAATTTTATTAAGCAATATTCTTATGTTGAGATAAAAAAAAAACATCCCCTGATGATAAATGATTGAAAAAGGGATTGGATTAATGGTGAAAACATGTATACTTCCAGTAATATTACTAAAGCCGTATTAATATTTTAAAACAATTTCCATTTGATATGACAAATTATTTAGAATTGTCTTACCTAGAGTTATACATTTTTCTGATGAGAGATATTGGCATTCTTCATCCTCAATAGCAGGAATCACCTTGAGACAAACGGCTGAAATTGTTTCCAAGGTTATTTCTGTATAACAATTTTTTGTCTGCAGAACAGTTAACAATGGTTGTTAATCTTTGAAAGTCAGTATATCATTGTAGCATGTATAACTCTTAATTCATAGTGTTAACTATGAGTTTTATATTATATATTTCATTGCATATTTTTAAATGTAAGGTTTTACAAATGGCTTGTGCAGTTTAGAGATTCTGAATATTTTAATCTTGTACTTCTGTGTGTCAGAGAACCTTTATTTTGTGTCAAGGTGCACATAGTATGATTGCATAGACTGGGATAGGGTTACCCCCGCACTGCAAGGGTTAAGTGCTTATTTTGCCTAAGGCGCAAAAATACAAGAGATATACTCATTCGAACCGAGATCTCAGCTGGCTCCTAGAATAATCCCTTCAGCCTCCCTCCCCCTCCGCTCCAGCAATCTAAGGTCCTGTGAGTCATCCCGTCCTTCTCAGTGCATAGGATGTGATGAAACTGAGGGGCATTCCATTGCTGGAGCAGAGGAGGAGAGAGGCTGATGATACTGGTCTAGGAGCCAGCTGGGATTGCAGCTCAAGTGAGGATATTTGTGTTATTTTAGCTCCCTAGGGAAAATGAGCACTTAACCCTTGCAGTGCAGGGGTAGCCCCACTGCGAGGGGTTAAGATTGTATTTGCCCAGAGTTCTTGAAGTGTCCAGCCTGCATGTTATCACTATGTCACATGATCACATGATTGGGATCCACTCTGATTGGTTATGGATCATCATTGGAGACCACAACTGTCAGTGACAGCCAGGATTGAGAGGCACCAGTTACACAAAGTGTTATCCCCATGCACCAATTAATGCATGTGATGTAAATGACAGATTTTGTGAGGGTCAGAGATTTTTTTCTGACAGTTGAGAGGTGGAATAATAAGTAAATAAGATTTGAAAAAGTATGAGCATCAAAATAAAATCAGACGGTAGCTACTAGAATAAATTTCACCCAAGGGTGTGCCAGAACCCTAGGGGGAGGGGCTTTCAATAAATACTAAAAGCTCTCTTGTTATATATAAAAGTTTATAAATTCATTTATTATTATAAAATAATTATTTAAGGGTTAAAATTCCAATTTATAAAACATGATTATTGCATAGTATGGTTATTCCATATATAGCATTGATATCACATGATTCATTTGTACATCATGATTAGTAATTCATTCAAAATAGTCCCGACATGTTTCGCCCTACTGGGCTTATTCAAGGTGATAGGAACTGTATATCCTACATGGGGACCAATTCATGTGCAATAAATTAAAAACGGCATGCCTGTGCAGGACAGACATATATCAAAGTTGCCAAATTTGTATATGTTTCAAGCTTACATGAAGGAGTCCAATCGGAATACATGCCAGTATAGAGCGATGGACCACAGCAGGTCAACTATATTCACCTTTACTTCAAGTGAAGAGGCAATCAAGCACATGAGTCGTGTCGGGAGAGTGATATAATAATAAATTAATTTATAAACTTTTATATATAACAAGAGAGCATTAAGTATTTCTTGAAAGCCCCTCCCCCTGGGGTTCTGGCACACCCTTGGGTGGAATTTATTCTAGTAGCTACCATTTATTAATTGGGGTGTGAAATCTTACACGTTTCCGGCTTGAAGTACACACCCACTAAAATTTGTTTCTAACAAAATAAAATCAAACCACAAAATGCAGATAAACACAGAAGTCCCAGAGGGTCAGATGGAACACATAACAGAATATAACATTTTACCCCAGTTTTATAATCATATTCTTCATCATTTTTCAAATAAATGTCATATCCCATCTTGCTTTTGATCTCTGGAGGAAAACCACAGTCCCAAGACAGATTTAAAACTCTTTCTTTCATTGTCACTGATAAATTTATTGGCTTTACATCATTGAGCACTGCAAAACAAAGTATGTAAATAATTAGTTAAAGCAGATGAAAGGTAACTAAATTTAAACCTCAAATGAATAAACCTCAAGAGACCAACTATTATCATAATAAAGGGAGTATTGGGAAACCAGAGACAAAATTATTTTATATCTGAATAGTAGATAACATAGAAGAGCCGTCTTAAAACAAGAAAACGCTATTCATTTGGAGTGCTTTTTATTAGCTTCTGTCCCTTTTCGACAGGTTAAACTTTCTATGTGATTATAAATAATATTAATACATTTGTTTAAATGCTGTATTAGTGGGATACATTTAAAGTGACACTAAACTCAGGAGTTAAATCTTAAAAATGCATTCAGGTACCTTAACTATTATCAAAAATTTATCTTATTTGTGCATCATTCACCTATAGATCCTCAAATCATCTCTGAATTCGTATTGATACTGTCCTTCCTTCTGTAGGATGACTACATTGTAGGGGGCCTGATTGGCCAGGAAGCCGGCTCCATGCTCCCTTGTCACCAGAGAGCATGGAGCTTGCTTTACGGCCAATCAGGAAGCCTGGCAGCGAGTCATTACACACCGTCTAAACAGTCCAAATCCCATTCGCACTGCCAAGGTCTCAAAACCACAAGGTATATGTGGTGCCCAGGTGACCACACGGATGGCGCCGTGCAAAACACTAATAGTAAATAAAAGTAATTCACCGGCACACACTTGAAGGGTTTTTAAAGTATTGATATGTTTATTCAATACCCATGTATGTCACATACTGTCATACAGTGCTAACGTTTCGGGTCCGCACAGGGATCCTTCATCAGAGTGACAGTGACTGTCGCTCTGATGAAGGATCCCTGTGCGGACCCATCAGTCCCATCAGTCATTGGTCATTGCGAAAAAAAACAGCAATTGGTATTGAGACTGATTTACTAAAATATTTCACTTTAGATATCCAATGCAGATAAATAATTAAACAGGAATTTCATTTTTAAAATGAAAATATTGGATCACTGAAGTCAACTCCTTTTGGTATATCAGCCCAATGGTGTGGTTACATCCAATCATCATTTGCCCGCAGTTTCTGCACTACATATACCTTTGCACTATATTTCCTATGAAAACTCTGCTGGATTTCCTCATATGTTTGCTACCCATTGCTCAATATCTCCCCTCTGTGTGTCCCTGAATATCTGCCTTGACTTGATTTGCCCTAATCCATTTCTCATGGTAACATATGAGTTCTTGCTCTAATCTTACTTTCAGTCTTTTCTGTTGTGGTTTTGCTCCCCAAGGCCTCATTCACAGAGCATAGAGTCGAGGGCCATATACGCCTGTGTGGCGTGCACGGCCGCATCGGGCCATTCCTGTCTGCGTCCGAGCACAGACACCTGGACCCACATGGATATGCAGTTGGGGAGTGTGTATGGCAGCGTACGTCCGCGTCCTCCCATAGGGAAGAACAGGTTGCTGCGTGCAATCACATGCAGCACCTGTCCCTCCGGGAACAGCCCGATATGGCCGTGCACGCTGCACGGATCTGTACGGCCCGACTTTATGCTGTGTGAATGAGGCCTTACTCCTACTCCCTGCCTATAAACAGTGAGCAGAGCCGTGCAAAGCTAAACCTATAACTTTCCTGCATGTTTCAGTGCTAAGCAAGGTGAGGAATGCCTAGGCACAAACACAGACTTCATGATTCGCATGATTCACTGCTGGAACAGACTGAATTGCACAGTGTGAGGCATGGGGGAGTTTAGTGTGCGATGCAGTGCTTTCCAGCAGCTAACCACGCTGGAACGTACTGTAATTGGTGTGAACAAGCCGTGAAAGGTTCCCTGCATTCTGGGGCAGGAGGAGGCAGCAGTGCTATCACTGCACCATAATGCGGGGCACATCAATGCCTGCGTCCCATTCCAGTGCGATTGTAAAAAATGCTGCATGGTGTGGGTGATCGCACTGCTGGTTGGGGTGCGTGACTGCATTGCCATTGGCTTCAATGCACCACCTCGCCTCCTCCCACCCCAGAATGCAGGGAACCTTCAGGGCTTGTTCACACAAATTACAGTGCTTTCTTAAAAGAAATCTAACAGTCTCATGTTTAATTGTTTAATTTTTTTTCTACAAATCTGTCTTCAGAAAATCAAAGTTGCCAATCTTTATGTAGCTGGTCTTGCCTAGGGCGCAATATAGGCTAGCACCAGCCCTGTGGGCAATAGCTCGCTATATGCTGAATTTTGGGTCACAGAAGGACATGAGTAAACGTCCTCCTGTAACCCTAAAGAGAAATACGGCCAATAAAGATTTCAAGATGAAAAAAAAATATTCAGTACATATCTGCAATACATTCACATTTTGCAATATTTTATCTCTTTAAAAATGCTGCAAGTATAGAAAAATAACAACTACCACTAACAACACAGTGCTTTTCCTGCTCCAAAATTCTATGTAGCGTGGCCAGCCCTGCCTGTTGGACTACAGATCTCTATCTATCCCCCACCCCTGTCTGTCCCTCTCCATATGTATTCATGGTTTTCTTTCTAAAGCAAAACAATGCCACTGCCTTGACTCCCATTAGTCGTCCCTCACACTGTCTGCAGGTAGAAAGCTCTTTGGAGATGCAGTTCTGGGGGGTCAAGCCATCGATAAAAACTGAACTACCAGTAGCTGTTAAATTTGAAAAGTCTGGTGATGGTGTCATAGGGAGTTGTAAAAGCTTTTTCATGTTACAGGATGGTGCTAGAGCATGCTCAAGAGGGGGAGAGGGAGGTTGGGAGTAAATTTGTGTAATGTGTGGGCATACCTTTTAACATTTCCAACAGCATGGTGTATGTGTTCCACCAATCATTTGTTGAAGAAATTGGATCACTAACACTTTTTATTTCAGATCTTCTATTTGTCTGTGACTTACCTAATATATTATGTTTGAGTGTTATTGAAAGAAAAGCATTCTACAGTATCATATAAAACATACATTTGGTGTCACACACTTACGAGCTTTGTTGCATTCTTGGGGAACTTCATACAAATAACAATGCTGCCGTATTAGACAAAAGAAAAAGATATACGGTATTGTATCCATTTCATCCTATGTAGCACAAGCCTGAAAACAGAAAATGCTCATACTGAAACAT